TTTCTACTCCCAACTGTGAGAAATACCATCTTCACTTTTATTAATAAGCAAAGAGTACTGTATGTAGAGATATTTAGTGGACATTGTAGTTTGAAAATAGTTTTCTGCACATCACAACATTGTGAGCCAGGGATCAGTTGAACGTTTTTCTCTCCCAGAGTTTAAGAGTTTCCAATAATCTATAACTGTGCAAACTAATAATTTTCGTAAGTTACCTCACATGTTTTTCCTACTCTAGTTATTTTTAGATGACTGAGTCACTCAGATTCAGTTGAAATTTTATGAAAAATTCTACGTCTATTTTACCCATATTAAATCTAAACCTAATAAATTGCAGAGTAAATATTTTAGCCAACGTATTTGTTTATTAGTAAATCTACCACGGAGGCAATACATTGTGTTTAAGAATAAGAAGGCAATCTGTTATAGGTAATGATTTGCTCCCAATGTTTTATTAATCAAGTCAGTAATAAATAGAACTTTCGGTGTTTAGTGATTAACGGTGTGGTGATAGTGAATATTATTAATCTAAGAAATTGAAATATAGGTCATGTACACTCAATGATAAGTAATAATTATATAAGTCAAGCTGTTTAAATGAATAGGATGATAACGTTAGAAGAAACATTTCAAACTTCTTTGTAAAGCTAACTCCATTCTGACATTCTACATTGCTTTGGTCATTACCATGTTAATTATAGCTTACTTACTTACGCCTGTTACCCCCGATGGAACATAGGTCACCGAACAGCATTTTTCAACCCACTCTGTCCTGGACCTTCTGTGATAATTGTTTGTTGCATTTTTCTATCGCATACATTTTATCATCATCTGCTATCCGTCTCACATATTTTAAGTCCAATGATCCATTGTTTCTAGTTCCCTTCAATAATGGTTTCAAATTTATTGCCTTTTAAATGATACTAAACTGTGTATTCCTTTTTTTTCTAAAACGACTGTCTACCATATTTATCACCAATATTTCCATTCTGTTATCAGATTATCATGTTGCGTCTGATAGTTATTATTGTCACCACTTTTATGATTGTTGCTTTTTATCGGGATTATACATCAAGCCTATTATTTCATTTAAAATATCGTCCACAAATTTTATACACAAGGTCTTTACAACGTATACATGAACCAAGATATTGAATATTCAAGTTATGGGCAACTATCAACCTCATGTATCTTGGTTTTATTAGCATAACATCTAGAGAAGGAAAAGACGATAGAAAGTGAAACAATGTGACGTCTGAAAACATCTAAAAAAAATTTTAAAACAAATAAAATGAAGATCGGAAAAGTATGTTGGTATAAATAAAAAGTAATTTAAGGAGGGGAACAGTGGTACTTTCTTAAGTTTCTAAAATAGTTTTTGTCACCCCCGTTCATGTTTTTGTCGCGGATACTGTATATTTACACTAGAAAATTATATGATGATACCTTTGGCCTGTTTTCACTTTCTGAAATTAGTACTCATATGAATACACAAGTTATTTGAGATTATTTATCTTCCTTGATAATTTTTCACAAAATTCACTTCGATCAAAGAATTATTACACATACGGATGTTGTAAACACAAAACAAAATTTATTGGTAAATCGTATATATACATATATATATGCTTATAGTGATTACTAATAAAAGCTAAGGACCTCTATTTGGGACTTATCAGGTGATGATACCTAGGTTTTCGTGTTATCTGTGATTGATCATTTTACGTTTAACATTTAAGTGCATTTTCAAGTATATTACTCATGTATGATGCATCATATTAAAAAAAATCGACTGTTTTACTTAAATGTCACAATTCAAAATACATATATTTTATAGAAGAGATATGTTATATTTTGCAGAGATACCCAGAAAACTCTTTTTCTTCTATTCGAAACCTGTCAGCTTTGTCGATATTTACTCTGGGACTAGAACCCAATACCGTCCTCCTTAAATGTGTTATCCATTATGCTATTGAGTCTTGCCAGACACTTACTTAAACATTTACAGATCAAATACATATTACATTGTTTTGACCACCTGTTTTTTCTATATCTTATTCAGTATATTAAATGTAATTAAAATGATCATTTATATTAATCAGAAATCATCATTATATTTCATTATATTGGTTTCAGTAAGTCTTAAAGTATTAAATTGTTAAATACTAATAATGACTAAGTAAAATCAGCCAAATTTCTTTTATCAGGTAGTTCATGATAAAGAGTATGTGTACAATTTGAATTATTTTGTTATAATGTGGTATTTATGATTGTTAACTGTTGAGATATTCTTCTGAATATCCAAAAATTATCCTGTTAAATCTAATGCTATCCTTGGACTTGAAATGGCATCATTTTCCTATTGGTCAATTTTTATTTCACGTGTCGTTTCCCTACTGGTCAATATTTATTTTATTGTACAAATGTTATTTTCTATTTTATGGTACGTTGTGGTCTGTCTGGTTGATATATAAACCGAGTATGTTTGAAATAAATGATTCATATCACAGAGGCTGAGATTTGTGTTCTGGACTTATCTAGCCGGGCTAGGCAGAAAGCAAGGCCAATCAGAACTCTAGATTGCTCGCGCGTGTTTACGCGTCATTGTTCCGATCGATAAGTCACTGCTCTCTAATCGGCAGTCTCAAGTTATAACATTAACTTATTCAGATAGGTTTCTTTTTTAACTTTATAAAAATCAGATTAGTTTAAAACTTTTAATTTCGATACTATAACAACCATCAAAATAAATGTAACGTTATTTTTTTTTAATTTTTCAAAAGAAATAAAATTGTATCCCTTCAAAGAAAAAACTGCATGGTAACAAAAATAATATTGATTTTCATAGTTAGACAAAAATTTTAATAGAAAGAAGAAAAGGTTTTTCTTTATTATTTTTATCATCTTTATCATTTAGAATAAAAAAAGTGTTTGGAATACACTTGTTAATTCAATAATAATATCAATATGTACATATGGTATGCAGTAAATCCTTGTCCAATGTGAAAATAAAAAAACGACAACATGTATGATACTATATACTCGACTTTTGATTCAGTACAATAGTCTGATTATGACTTACTTGTATATGATAGTCAACAGTAATACTTAGTTACATTAATTTGGGTACAATATTAGTTTTTATAACATCACATTGATATTTGTTTAGTTTTCATTGAACTTCATACTATTATTAATATGAAGATGGAATAACAGATAAATCACTGATTCATTTTATTTTTATTCATACTTCTTAATCGGTTTGAACGAATGCTCTGGTACGTTCGGGGATGTAGAGAGTCAGCTTGTTCACTTGAAATGCTCTCACATGTCAACACATATTAAGTCACTGTCAGGGAAGTCCTACTCACTGTCTTCTCGAGGCGAGAGGATGAAAAGCGAATGTCCGGCTCGTTAACCGGGTTAGTGGATACGGACGATCCATCTAGGGGATTGGAAAACCTTGATTCCAAACCAATGACGCACACGGGCTCCAGGATCTTGAAAGAGCAAATGGCGTGTGAACCTATTGCTGGTCACCGGCCACCATGGGACTGAAACTTCTAACGTTGCACCACAGACTTTTGGATTAGACCTTTACGTCAGAAGCTCAGGGTGTGGACCCCTAAGAAAACTACCTACTTTGGTTTGGGCGCCCGGACATTATTTTAGCCCTCACACAAATCGAATGACAAAATGTGAAATATATATATTTGATGCCTACTTGTACCAATGTTTATGTGTTCAAACAAACAGATAAATAAGTAAACAACTCAGATAAGAGAGAAATCAAAATATATGCTGATATTTACTTTAAAACCAACAGTATAAACGAGAGAAAAGCAGGGTAGTAAATAAAACGTCAAAAGAATGTACAGTTTACACACTTAAGCCCAACTCTACATATTAGGGGCATCCCGATTATGTGAAATTGATTCCGAAAATCTTAAAAACTAAATGCTAGTGATTTTACACATGAGTTTCATACTGATCTTGTCACTAAAACCTGATTTTTGCATAAACCTACTTTTAATGACATATCTCTTAGACCACCTCAAATACAAAAAAACATTCATAGAATTTTCATCATCTCATCATCGATAACAGCAGCTTATATATGTTCGTATTTAATTGTTGCAAGTTTGATGATAACTAGTCAAATATAGTATGATTTTGCACTGAAAATCACTGTGTTTGTTAGATCGTGCAGCTAGGTTGATTAACACTCAATCAGTATAAAATATCTTTTATATGGTGATTAGGGTTTGTGAAATCATTTTGGGTGTAATAACTTGATAAACTGCTCAGATTAAACTGAACAGCTTCTATTTCCATTAAAATATATAACAGGTATTTACTTTAACCTGGAAGTCTTATTAAATCTGACTTAATTTTCTGATTTAGATTATTCACTATCTTTCAGGTGATCTTTATCCCAGACACCGTCAAATATTTGAACAAAGTAAATACTTTGCTGGTATTCAAGTCCCATCTTCAACATCTGTGGTAAGTTTCTGAATAATATTCTATATTTTTTACTGAACTGAAAAAAAGCATTCATGCAAGTAGTAGTAAATTTTACGAATTGAACTTCGTTTATCGAGTATTAATTTATCAAATCGTTCAAGCCATATTTGTACGACTTACTTAATTCATAAAATCCCTACCTGTAACCAAAACACTAAAGTTACTAAATATATGATGTCACTTTTCAGATATAGTATAAATGAGTTTCATATTCAAAATTACTAAATACTACTGATGAATCTTAGGATTTAGTTCATTATTACCCTTCCCCTTAAACAGTACAAGAACAGTATACACAAACCTTCTACAATAATAATAACAGTCATAGGCTTATCAGTAATCGATTTAAAATTATATACATGTTCTAATTTTCAATAGTTTTATTTCTTTTCAAGTCAGTACCAAAAAGCACAATATTCAAATATATTTCTTAATTATGATTACTGATAACTAACTAATGTAAATGTACTTATAATTTATTTAGTCCCAATGACCTATAATATTCTAATTTCCGTATGAAAAATCCTTTAGTTTTAAAAAGTTATTTGTTTCAAACGCTTACGTGAAACCTAATATCAAACTGGAATTAATTAATCTATACTTCAAAGAAAACTTTATAAGCTAAGATGGATAGTTTATACGAATATTCGTTAAGATTAGAACGAATAGTTTGACAGTAATTGAACGCGGAGTATAGAGAAGTCATTATATGTGAAAATTATATTTTAAATATTCTCAGCGATTGAAATATAACTAATTCCAACGTTTCGTCCAGCTAACTTGTCTGGACTTCTTCAGGGTAATAGTCAAAATCAAAATTATCAAAGAAATATATAGTTTTTTAACAATCAGGATTATACTGTGTTAAACCAATCATATTCTGATGTTGATTTTTTGTAAAATAGGGTAAAATGAGTCAGTTAACTACAAATCATGTGAAGCAATCAACTACATGGAAATACTTAACTGAGTAACTAATCGTATGTGTGCGTGTGTAGGTATGTATGTCCCATTTGGGACTTGTCAGTTGGATGTTGATGTTCACTTCGGGACTCGGACCCATTGCCATTCGCTCCAAACGCTATCACGTTATCCACTTAGCTATTGAGTCCTGATAGCCACTTGCTTCTGCAATGGAGCAAAGTTTAAATTCACTTAGTTTTGTTTACTTGAATCTTCCCATTGGTGTTTAGGACTATAATTAATCAGCCTCTTATTAACATGTGTGCACACTGTGCGTATTGCCTTAATATTGCCTTAATTTACTCACAGTATGCACATATGCCAATAAGAGACTGATCAATTGTAGTCTTAAACATCGATGGGAAGATTCGATTGAGCAATACCAAGTGGATTCAAACTTTAAACTCTTTATTTGTTCGGTTTAATAATATTTTTGAATAAACTAAAAGTCGTACTATAAAGATAAATAAATTAAACAAAAAAGTGTATACCAATTCCTCTTTGGTAATCATCAATATCAAGAAGAAATTAATGTTATTTTAATGTTTTAAACATGAATTACTGATATTTTAGCTCTACAAACTAACCATTATTGTCTTTCGTGTTTATACATTATTTGGTTTTAGGAGCCATTAGAGAAACGGTTTGAAAGAACTTATCCCCTGACGCTAAGTCCAAGAGAATTGGATTTTTTACAGGTTAGAATCATTATTATGTAATAAACTTAACTTTCTGTGTTATAACGTGATTATTTGAAGTAAGTAACCTACTATAAAGAGGCGCTTCTGGTAACCTGGGCTGGTTAACGATTATGAAAACAAATTAAATACTATGATATGTGATTAACAAGGTTGTTTGAATAATGACTGACTAGTTTACATTTCAGAGATTGTTCTACATATTATCCGTCTGAAATATATTACCGTGGAAATTGGAACCAAAGTTCGTCAGCAAATATATAGGATTTGTGATACACATCATTTTTCGTTATTATATACATCAATACTAAATGGGTTAATAAGATATTAGGCTAAATTGATATCATTTATAGATAGACTGAAAAGTGCTGACACGGGTTTCTGTGCCAAGAAAACTAATAATTAGTGTTTTGCCTACAGGAAAAAGAAGTATTATCCACTGAAAAAGTACTTCAGTTCTTTTAAAAACTGTTAAGTAACTTAACTGTCAATTTTCAAACTAAGTTTTGATACTGACGAGAAAATCACTAGTGGAAAAATTTGTTATGATGAACAAAATGTTCTTAATCTACACTTCCGATATTATCGACAAGTTAGTTGGCTGAAGTCATTCGACGGAAAGCCTTCCATTCTCCAATCTTTTTTACATTCGAACATAATGCAGGCAAGTCAAGTCACTAAAACTACTTATCATTACCTGCTTGATAGACAGAGTCCTCTCAATCTTTTGAACTCAACGAAAATGGTGTCGATCATCACTCAGCAATCAATCATTGGAAGTTATCATCGTTTCGACAGTGGAAATCATAAGAAACTCTTTGAACAAATGTAGTTTCAGTTACTTTGTGATTTATTTTGAAATATCCTCAACAATTGATGAAAATTTCATTGTAGACGGTGGCTATCAATGCATAATTTTGTTGTCATAATACAAAGCAATAAATTAGTTAATCAACAATAATTTTTCTTCTGTCAATAGGCTTGTGTACGAATGGATCCTTCAGAACGATGGAGTTGTGCTGAACTACTAAAGCATCCATACTTTGGAATGCATAGTTTATCTGAGAAAAATAATAAATTGTCATGTAAAATTCAAGGTAAAAATATTTTCTATATCTTGAAAATTATGAAGTATTTGGTATTCTAACTTAGTTGATATGATGTTTTGGCACTGTAGTTATATAAAAGATAAAAGATATAATTAGATATTTGTTTATTGTAAGGGATTCAATCATTTGATTTAAACATCTAGCTTACTAATACATGCTACATCGGTTTGCCTATTATGTAATCAAAAGTACCAATGGTTATATTGTATGAATCATAATGATACGGTAAACAAACTCATGACGCTTCTAATTTAAAAAAACTCATCTGTAGTATTTATTTATTAGCTAAGACAATCAATAAACTTATTACACTCCCACCTAGGTTATGTATATTAAACACCTGTCACCAGCTATATATCCGAATAATTTAGGTTAACTCTGTAAGTGTTTAATCATATACTTTTAAAGTTTTCCATACCCATAACCACTTAATGAATATTAGTTAACATACGCATGAAACTAGAAAGTTTTATTTAAATTCTTATATCTTGCCTAAACTACACACTGAGTATTGTGCAATTTATCAGTCTATAAGACTAAATATTCCTTCTCTTCATCTACTTCCCTTTCCACCTTCCTAGGGTTGTCTTACGCGTACAAACAAATGTATACAAATCAATAGTAGAAATACCTTTCTGTCTACTTAGCAATGGACATTGATACTATCAAAAAATTTAGTAGATTATGAAGTAACAAGTATTTCATAATAAGTTAACTTCTTACATTGATAAATAAAGACTCTAGATTAAAGGGAAAAAACAAAAGCATAAATTTTATTTAACTATTCATTTAGTTTCTTAGTCACCATAGTAACAGACATGAAAATGATAGTTGAAGATATTAGAAAATGATACAAGTGTGAGTTTAGTCGCTCAGTCAACATATATACATATGGATTATACCGACTGAGTATACATGTACAACTAAATAAACTGTACAATTTTTCTTCCCGTTTACTCATCCTTTTGCCATAGTAACTCGTTAAAATAATATTAATATTATATTTAAAGAAAAGCTTAAACTTTGTTCTTAACAAAAAAACAATGAAAAAACACACTTGGATTAGTTCAAGTTATCAATATTAACTTATTTTCTTCTTACCGAAGTTATAAATGAAAGAATAACTGGCTTTTAACAATTTTATTGAATTTTTGTTTGGCATCAAATTTGGCATATGATATGTTCATTGTTCTAATCCTTAATTCCTCTTATCTACTCACTAGAATTTTCAATATAGTATTAATGAATAAATCATACATTACATTAGACATATATATTTTGTCTGTTGGATAAGTAAGTGATTTATTCAAAAGGCGTCTTTATGAAAATGTTTATTACAATAACAACAGTTGAAGAAAGAATTTGTTATATCGGGATAAGCATTAAGCTCTTGTGGCAAAATGTCAGTCTCCAATATGATCGTTCGATGATTATTTTTGAAATATAAATGCCGCCAAACCTCGTATGTTTTTATCGACTTAATTCTCGTTAGAGGATAACGCAATGAAATAGACCAAATCAAAGATTGAATTTTGAATTCTTAAATTTCATGCACTCAATAATCCAGATAGGCAATCAAAGAAAACAAGTGAAGGAAACAAAGAAATAAAACGAAGTGTAAAATGCCATTGAGAAAATGTAAGACGAAGCGACGCGCAACGAAGAAGGCGACTGACCGATTCTGTTCGACCACGAGTAACTCAGTGTCTGTAGTCAAGCCAAAAATAATTCACAGACACGTGATGATTAGGGTAAGCAATCAACACACATACGATCATATAAAAATAGTCAGGGTTAATAAGCGAATAATCAACAAGTTCAAAATGTGGCTTGAAAAGAATGGATAAATTGGTCTGTTTAGAAGCTAGAATGACCAATGTGGGATCTACGTAGTACCAACCACTACAGAACAAAGTTGAATTTTCGTAGCCGTCCTATCTGGAATTATTGTTTAGTCTAAATTCGTTGGTACAGTATAGAAAGTCTAATCAGTATTTGGAGTAGATGAATACAGCTGCTCTCCTGTCTTACGATTTGATCACACAGGCGGTAAATATTCCGGAGAAGAAAAAAACTTTGTTTTTACTGTTAAATCAGAATAGTATGAATCTGTTGTATTTCTCAGTCATTCTTATGAAGACGTACAGTGTTGTGTGGTTAAAGGAAGTCGGTAAGAAAAAGCTGAACACATCAACCAGTTATACCTGGAATTTTGAGAGAAATCACTTCACCTAATTTTATAGTTTGAGACTCTACCATTGAAGTATTCAGCTCATAACCAACCCACATTGCTTCGAAATATACATCAGTTAATCACTGTGTAGTGACTAGTTTCACGTTTGACTTGTACTTATTGCTTATCGAAACAATATAAATCGGCTGATTTGAAACGTATCATGTAGAAAATCTATGACACAAACAGTACATCAACAGAACATATCAATGAGGCTAACTTAGTGTCAGTCGTTATAATGAATTTAGTTTATCTCGGTTATTATTATCTAATTTTACATAGTACTGGATCAATATAAGCTGTTAAAAATTACTCTGTTTTATTCTAGAAAATTTAACCGAAATCCTTTTGACAAAAAACATGAAGTATATTAGGATGGACAGAAATATGAATAAACAATTGACTGAATAACTTCTGACTTTGAATCTATACCTAATCAACTAAGTTAAAACCATTGATTATGACATTAATTTCTGTGAAACAATAACGGAGACATTAATAACTGTGAATTTAAAAACATAACAAACCGAATCAGAGCAATTCATCACATTACTGATAGCCTGTGTTTAACATAAGACAGATCCTTAAGTGATACGATACGGAACCTCTTACCATAATAAAAATTTAGTCTGAAAGTTTACCATCAATGTTACTTTTTTAGTGTTTAGAGTTATCCAATTGCATGGTGGAATAGCTTCACATTACACGTTGATTATTTGTTTTTATTGAGTCTTAAGAATGGATCTACCAACTTGTCTGTCAACACATATAATTTATTCTATAATTAATTTATGGCATCAGCCCTAAAATCAGTAACCACTCCCAAGTTCTTCTAACTGTTCATCTGCAACAGTATCGGAACTGAAGTGACAGATTTTCAGGTACATGTTGCGAATATGTTTAGAATGACTATAAATTTCAGTCAGTTCATAGTACGAGTGTCTAACATTTACTTTTACATCTAATCTGCTTGGCACTGAAGAAATCCATATCTTAGTAAATCAGCGATGATTACTAAAATAATCAAAGAAATTACATACTAAATATAAAAACTTCAGGAGTATTAAAACTGTGAATCGTTTAATTTAAATTATTTGCTTAAACTATACAACAGTGTCCATAGTTGAAAACTAATGATTTGATTTTATATTAAAGTGATATTGTTTAGTAGTTACGAACTTCAGTAGAACATCTGTGGAGATTGGGATGACAAACTTATTTTGTAAATACTTTTTGATATTACTTGCATTTATTTTGTTAATTTTCACAGGTTGTACATTTACTATAAAATGATTGTGCATGTTGTTTAAGCGCATGACCTTGAACACACTTTCATCCGTTGTGCAACACTCATAACATGACACACGCTATTAACTACTCGTAAATACACTACTGTACACAAAAAACATATTAACTCAATAATAATAAAGTTATTACACCCAAATGTTAATGTTATAATATATGTTATGAGTTATTAACACAAATAAAAATTTAGGGACTTTACTTAAATCCACAGGCTTGTGCGTGTTCGAGTTGCATTTGGCACCAGAACCCACAATTATAGATAATTAATAATTCCAGTGAGGTTGTTATGGTTCCAATAAGTATAGCCAGATGTAGAATATAATGTAAATGTGACTGCGGTCTATAAATGTAGATAACAGATATTTCAAAGTTCAGTTATCATAACCACAGGTAATGGAGAATCAGAGACAGGTGTATAGTAATGTATTTGCGAGCAGTTAATAGCGTGTGTCATGCTATGAGTGTTACACAACGGATGAAAGTGTGTTCAAGGCCATACGCTTAAACAATCATTTTATGGTAAATGTATAAACTGTGAAGATTAACAAAATAAATGCAAATAATTTTCACAGATTGAAATTATGAGTCAATTGAAGCTAGACCACCATTGAAAACCTGGAAGCACTGGACGGCCGTTTCGTCCTAGTATGGGACTCCTCAACAGTGGTCTAGCTTCAACTGACTCATGATTCTAATCTGTAAAAGTTTCTGAAATCTCCACAAACCCCTTCTGAAAATGCAAATAATATCAAAAAACTATTTACAAAATAAGTTCGTCATCCCATCTCACTCATCCATTTAGTGCATACAATACAATTGATATGATGGAAAGAAAAGTCAAAATTCGATTGACTTACTTATTATGATTTTTATCCAACATTAATTCCGTTTTGATTCAATGTAATGATTGCTCAATGTAGTATTTGTTTTGTTTTCCCAGGATGATATTTTATTCTGTATAATATACGATATTCTTGTATTTAATTGACATGATCAGCAAGTGATTTGTTATAACTGAGTATTTTTATACATGTGATTTCATCTTAATCATTAATCAACGTGTGCGTACAGTCAATATATAAATGAGTATATTTCCGGCTAGGATCGTTGTCGTCGTGTTTTGGGGTTAATAAATCTTCATTTATACTAGTCTTTGTATTCTTACCTTCGCATCGTGGGAATTTCAGAGGTCCCTTGTTTCGAATATAAGTGATAAGCATTTTCTGACACAACAATCAGTGACAACCAGATATAACAAGTAGTGTTCAATCCAACAAGACAATATTAACAATACAATAAATTTCACTATATTTCAAATATTAACATTACAATTTATCATTATATTTCTTTTTATGTGTATTCACTTTTCTTATAGATTTAGGGACCAATGTAATAAATGAATTTAGTTCATCTTCTAATATCATGTTAAAAAATGAAAAACTAGTGGGAATTGAAAATTCATCAAAGAAAATTGATTTTAAAGTTGGAAATAATAAATTTATCAATCCAGTTTCATATCCATTTAAGACAACACTTCAGCCAAGAGTTCGAATGCCTGGATTTAGTCAGAAACCAATTAATACATGGGATTCTATTGTGAAAAGGTGAATAATAATGTCAAATCATTTGTTTTGCTTTAAATATATATATATATATATATATATATATATATATATGATTAAAATATCCCATAGTGTCATTGAATAAGAAAAAGGGAATTCAGCGAAGAAAATTTTCGTTTCGACGAAATCATTTACTTAAGCTGTACATTCGTATATATAGTTATATATGGAAAATGTATGTCTGTAGGAGGATAGAAAAAGTTGCATCACCAACAAGTATCGAGGATAAATAACTAATGAGGTTACGTACTAATCAAGGGGTAAGGAAGAAAATCGTTTATAGGTCAGAGAATAGTCCAATTGACAAATATGAAGAAAAGCGACAAACACAAAGGTCATAATAATAAACTGGATAATAATCAAGAAAACTTGTATGAGGTAATAATAATAACTGATTAGAGTTTAAAATGCAAAATAGTAATTAAAAGAAAATTCGATAATAATCAAATAAAAGTGCAGAAAAAACAAAAACAAACAGAAAAACAGAAACATACCAATTAAGGGGATTAGGGCCAAGGAAGGATAAGAGTTTGGACAAATCGTTTCTGCACGCAGAATTCGGGCTTGAGTTCATGAACTGCCAGTGCCTCAGCAGTGCACAGAATATTAATTCGACACCCCTTCGATCCAATTCCTTTGACTCTCTCTCTCTATATATATATATTTCGTCGGAAAGGAAATTTTCGTCGTTGAATTCTCTTTTTCTCATTTATTTATATATTTCTTGAATAAATGTACTTGCTAATTTATTGTTTTACATTTGGGAACTGACCTCAGTTACACAACTGTTGAAGACTAAAGTAGCACTGAGCCTCTGTTTTATTCTAATAGGGATATTTTCACATTAAAAAAAATAAAATCTCAGTGTAACGAACTAATCTTCTTTTCAGTTTCATTAATGTAAACTCAGATATTCTTGGTAGTTCTACAAAACTTGTTTAATATTGTTGTTCTAATTTGCTAAGACTAATTTTTTTCTTATGAATGTTTATAAGAAAATGGATAAAGGATATATTAGAAACATATTTCTTAATGTTACGTAATCGTACATTAATGCATGATAATTTTCACTTATCATGTTATTTCTAAACTATTCTATATCATATATTTGGATAATTTGTTTGTGGCATAGCTCCAAGCAAAATACAAACTGTTATATCCTAGTAAAGATGGAACTACGGGTAACTTCTGAGATCTATTAATGGACTAATTATATATATATATATATATATATATATATATATATATAACTGTTCAATAGCTAGATTATGTATATCTACATTCCTCTTATTATAATCTTCATTTCGACCTATAGATTATTATTATACGGTTTACTGTTCTTGAATTATGTTCAGTTTATTGACTACAGTCTCCTACGTCCACAGACACATTTTGACCTGATCTTGTGTAAATATTATTTTCCATTTCATGGTGTGATTTGATATGTTTGGCTGGTATATATATATATGTTTAGAATAACTGATTAGCACAGTGGAAACTGTTATTAGCGTTCTGGACTCAACTGGATGGGCTAGGTGAACAAGGGTCCAATAAGGAAGCTAGACTGTTCATATCCGTCGAACATCGTTAGTTTGGCACAGTAATAAGATTGGATAGGTCGTATTTGCATTGGCGAATAAATCATGTGATAATTAGAGACCTTAAAGATAGCTCAAACCATCAACATCTTGATTTTAAGAAAAAAATGTTACATAATGGTAATATAATAGAAGTAGATAAACAATAGAAAGAGCTAACATATAAGCAATCACTGTACTAAAATTGAAATATTCCTATGATTTAGAATTTATGATAAATTTATTTAAACATTGAACCCATAAAATCAAAAGGTAGTTAGTTTAAATTTAGTCATAAACTTAATTGATTAATGTGTATTGTTTTGTTGAAATTTTATATAAATGAATAAATGGTATTTCATAGTGAAACACGCAAACTATCAAACTCTTTTGTTTGTTTTACAAGTTTCATTCATCAATTCTATTCATTTATTATCTGATAGAAAATGTTTTATGAAATTAATATACCATGGGTGTCTTTGTAAAACAAACAAAAATGAGTCATTTGATTGAAATAGTTTTAAATTCTTTGGGCGTACAATAAAATATATCCGTCTTCTTTTACTTCGTTTTCTTAACTATGGGAGTGACTATAGATAATCCATTTGAAGAATGTTTAAATATAAATTAAATCAAATATATATAAATAACATAAGATTTGTCTACTTTAAACTCATCAAAATGTTTCTTATTAGTACATGAAAAAGTATTGATTACTTTGGCAAAAAAATTAATATTGGATAAACATACTTAGTTTTTTGATGGAGTTTTGTTCTCTGAGTTGACCAAACCATCCAGCAAAATCATCCATCTGAGCTACAAATCTTCTCCATCATCTCAAAGTACTTAGTTTTACCTAGAAAACATAAGGAATTGTTTTCATAATAAATATTGATTTATTAATGGTAACTGAATGAAATCATACTTCACTATTTATTGCTAAGTAAAGTCTATGGATTAAAAAGAAAATGAAGATACATAGTAAGAAATATCTTACAACATTGTGAAATACTATTGTTGTGTTTTATATGCTGAGTGATGTTCTGTAGAAAAAAACAAACAATCTTACTGATGCTTTTATTTATTTCTTAAAAGATTTAAGTTTTTTAGGATATTTTAAATGTTTACGTTTGTAAGTCGTATTTTACAACTATTTTAGTATGAGTATGTGCATTTTTAAATCGTAGTATTTTAACAGTAAAATACACCAGTCAATCTGAAATAGACTACCAATAAAAACCTGGAAACATTGAACTTCCGTTTTGTTCCAGTATGGAACTCCTCAACAGTCCACATCCACGATTCCATGAGTGGTAGTCTAACTCACAACCCTCTATCATGAGTGTGAACGCTTAGCCTCTAAACCACTGAGTCAGCATCCAACGGTGTAAATGTCTAACTTCAACCGATCCATGATCTTATACAACACTTCGTCCATTGTGTTCGGTGGATAAGTGTCTCACACCCGACATGGATTGAACTCCACTAGTCAGTATATGAACTGGAAATGTGTATCGTTGGATATTATATTCAGTTATTTTTAATTTTCTTCAAATAATTAACAATATTCCAGGTTGAATAATTCTGCAGATATTACAAGTCTTTTGAAAACATTTTGGGTATCATCAAGAAAAAATACACAACGGTCAAGAATATGTTGTTATTCCATAGTTGTTACTACCTAGGTGATGTCACGCATAAATCAATCGATATTCTTTTGATAACAAATTCCAACCACTACTGAAGTTTACAAAGTACAGGCTAAGAACAGATTACATATAAGCAATGATGGATAGTGGCAGTGGAATCCAGGATGCGCGTTTCGTCCTATTTTGGACTCGTCAGCTGGATGTACCTGCATCTCAGAGTTGATGTTCACTCTGGGACTCGAACCCAGTACCATCCTCTTCAAACGCCACCGCGTTATCCACTATCCATCATTGCTTACAAAAAGCTTGTGAATTAAGGCAATATCGAGGCCTACGCACAATATGCACATATGCCAATAACAGACTGATCAATTGCAGTCTTAAACCTCAATGGGAAGATACAAGCCAAACAATACCAAGCGAGATTAGATATAAGTTTAAATATATTAGGAAACATTTTTAATTTCCATCTTGATAAAGATATAATTATTAATAGAATAGAATATTTGATAAGGAAAGTCTAGAATACATTGGTTGCTTATAATTTCTTTGTAATTTATTGATGATATAGAAAGAAGTTATAAAATCGATTTATCATCATTTCATAGTTTGATAAATCACATTTTCTTATTTGAATGTATTGTTAGTAAATCAATAAACAACAACGTATTGGAAACGATTATATCTGATTATAATAAATAACCGGGAAACTTAATAATAAACATCTTGCTTACTTGTTATATTAATATAACTATGTGTAGATAATGTTTTGAGTAAATAAGTAGTTTGTTAATAATGACCTTTCTTTTTAGCCTCTACCAATGATCTCTACTCATAAAACATTTTATCGAACAGCAGCAACAAATCTTAATTCAACAACTCCTGTTACTATTGCGGTAACTTGCACTACTAATTCAATAAGTAGTAATAATATGTATGGTGATTCACGAGCACATGCTCCAGTATCATTACTTAAACCAATTTTTTCAAATCACGCACAAATTGTTCAAAATAATCATACTTTACAACTTCATCCAACACATTCTAATTTACCATTAACAACAATTTCAATGGGTTCATTAACCGGTAAAACTGCAATAAATCATGGATTTTATAATTTATCTATTTCTATGCCAAATGTAGCCCAAACAATTACATTAACTACAACATCTTCAACAGTAACAATGAATACAATAACACCTGCAACAACATCATTATTAAATACAATTGAATCTACAAATGAAAATTATTATAAATCATTATTAAACTTATCATCATATTCACCATTACATATCCCTATACGTTTTATGCGCCAAAATACAGATGATCATTCATTTAAACAACAATATAATCAATTAAGTCAGAAGTCTAAGACAACAATACATTTGCCTAATATTTAAAGCGGTGAAATAAATACATCTTATTATTTTAAACTTAATTTGTTCTCATTTGTTTTGTTTTGTTAATTTTATAGTGATATATATTTTTATTGATATAATTAACGTTTGAGGAAAACAAAGAGACCTAAATAGTTTTATGGTGATAGATGGGATTTGTTTATCGGTGAAGGACGAAACATGAAATTCGTTCTAATTGGGACTCGTTGGGTGAATGTCCTTGCATCCCACAGGTGAAATTTACTCCAGGACTTGAACACAGAGATGCTCACCTTAAACACCATCTCATCATCTACTTAGCTAATGAGTTCAGAAAGCCACCCAACTCTGGGATGCAGGTGTATCCGGCTGATGAGGTTCTAGTGAGACGAAACAATGCGTCCTGGATTTGACTGGTAGCTACATTCCATCTATTCTATACTAACGTTTGCCATAATGGATATATTGGGGCAGTTTCTACAAAATGCACATATGTCAACCAACGGTTGTCGGAATTCCGTTAAAACAACAACTACGAGATAATCGAAACCACTTCAAATCCAACTAAATAGTCCTATTTACAGAAGCTTATTCAGTATTTCGTATTTTTAGGCATGCAATAATAATTTATTTTTATTGTCAAATGACATCAGCTAGAAAATTACAATCAGAGGGGAATGAATAGGTGTTTCGTCGTATATGTACCCATAACAAATCCGTTAAGTAGTATATGACTTAAAAGTTCTCAGTATTACTCACAAAATCTTTTTATTTGTAAGCTTCTACCAATTTATTGTTATTAAATTGGAAAGTTTATTTGATGATGAACTATATTTAATACAAATGAAAGAGGTATAAGCAGTTCGTAAAGCATGATGAATAAATTCAATCCTTTTCTCTACATAATAAAGTATTGTATAGTGTAAAAATAGTGATGATTCTTTTTATTCAAGAATATAGTTAACCAAGGAGTCCCAAGTAGGACGAAACGTGCGTCCTGGATTCCAATGCTAGCCGCTATCGATCTCTGCTTATATTCTCATGAATGTTTTCTACGCAATCCATCCAGATCACAAAGAGAAATATCAAAGCATAAAGTATTTTGATATTGTTTTATTCTAGACATCTAGACAGTAGGTTCTCATAACAAGAAAGAAATGTAGAATTTTATGTTTTTCCTTTGTAAAAGGTACTCCATTCAGAAAGGCCCTAATTAATATTTGATACAACTAAACTTAGAATATTTTCTTAAATAGTGAATAGAAAAGTACTTTATTTTTCTATCATGGAATTATTTACTACAGAAATCCATTGTTTTTCACTTATAATTAATTTTGTATACAGAGTCATTTGACAATAAATAGTTCTCATTTAGAAAAACAGTTATTTCATTGGTATGTCATCTAATCTGATTAGTCTAATATGTCAATAAGATGAGTGTGAATCTGTTAGGCTTTCTCCATTTATGAAATAAATATACTTAGATGTCGATATGAAGTAGTATAATACGTTGTTTATTCTTGAGTAATCATCAACAATAACTTTATCAAAACAACATCATCTTATATATCTTAACGTTATATGAACTACGTTTGAGTGACAAGTGGTTGGAACTAGCCACGAATTATCCCTGGTCCTAGATATAGTTCTGATTGCGATTTTTCACTAACCTAATCGATGGGATTCTTTTGGCAATACGAGTTACATAAATCTTTTATACGTAACTCTTCAGTGAGTAGCCGCTGTAGAATTTCGGTTTCATTTTTGAATAGACTTTTTTTCAAAAATGTTACAACAACACTTTACAGACTTAAGATGAGAATCTTTTCGATATTGATGCATTTTACAGATTGTAAAATAAGGTTCCATAGGACCTAGGAAACATTTTCTATCTAAAAGAATTATAAACTTCATGGAAGTCACATTTATTTTGAGAAAGAAGTACGTATTGAGCTGCACTGAAATCTAGGATTGCAGAAAATATGACTTATTACATAAGAACGTTATTCTGTTTATCTATTAAGAATGTACTTAAGCTTATTAAGCTTAAGATTATATAAATGAACAAATACCTTGTTTGGCCTGAAAGATTTCTAAACTTTGTGCATAATTAAAAGTTATCAGACTTCACAGCAATTTTCACTGCTTTATTGTACAAAGCTATGATAAATGAATAATATAAACAATTCATTTAACTATTAGGTAGTAGTATAAAGTATTTGATAAAGTCGTTTAATGAATAAATATTTTGTTATATTTTATTGTACCAGAGCATTCCATTCATCTGTAACACGTTTTTTGAAGTTAAATATGGTTAGTTTATTGAAATCGTTAGCAAATTTGGTGATAAAGTAGTTTTTCTGTCATTTTTTTCTAAAATGAGCTTTTAATGCTATAAACTGATGAACATTCTAAACGGTTTACCAAAATTCAATCTTTGAATTCTAAGCATAAATTCACTAGGTAAATAATTACTAGTGTGGAGCAGTTTACTTAGTCACTCATTTACTAATGCATAATATATATTGTGAAAGCGGCTTCATATTGTAGTATATTTTTAATAGCAAAATAGATGAATTATCACTTGACTATGCCTACATTTATCATCTACAAAAATGAATCCCTTAATGTCTCAGAATGAATTATGTTTGTAGAAAATTATGGGTTGAGGATAAATCTGAACATACATTTTGATAAAAAAATATTGAAAAATTGTTGAAAGCAACTGTAATGCTCACTTGAATCACCTACTGAACACCTTATATTTACTGAAATGATTGTATAAATTAAAAAGTGAAAAATCATTAACAAATTATTCAAAATATAGTTAGCTTATAGCTACTAGTAACATTGAATCATCGGCGTGAGGAGCTCATATTCCAATAGAAATCGTCTAAGGAGAAAAAATTGTTAGATCCAGTGTTATTGTAACCCAAGTTGTAACATCATATATATACATAAATGACGCAATGTTTCATCAATTCTGAATGAAGGTGATTTTCTGATATCTAGTGAGATAGCTTATAATATGTTCGTACATAAATAAATATAACTCCTACAGATAATGCAGATAAAGTTGTGTGTGCAAATATACACAAAATACTACTTTTAATAGGTAGCAGTAAGAATAGCGGGAGTGAGACAAATATAACCAACGTCATTATATTATGTCCAAGCTAAATTAATAGTTAACTGGAATTAGACTGTTGACAGTTGCCTACCGATTCAGTGATGTTTACCTCATGAACAGATAATGTAAATGATTTGAAAATATTAAAAATAAGAAGCCTTGTAAAATAATTGCATGAGGAATAGATTTCTAGTTCTTATTACAGTTATCGAGCCGATATTAAAGTAGCTTCCGGTGGGATTTTCAACAGCGACACTTACTTTCCATGATTTGAAAATATATATTTGCACGAGTGGAAATATGAAGACTGTAAATTTTTGTTATTTATCATGGAATATTGAAGAACTTAATTGTCGACCACCTGAAAATGCAATTTACATTCATCGCTAAATAACCCAGATAAAAGGTATCTAAGATACTTAATAAGATCACCGGACCAATGGCAAAGCAATAAATATCTTTTATACAACCTATACACACATATTTCCAGTGAACTATGAATTTTTTACTATCATAGACCAAATCTTGTCGGAGAAGTATACTACTAATAAGTAGTTTGCAACATCACGTAAAATTTAAAAAAAGTAGGTAAAACAAGATTTGTAAAGCAAAATGAATCCATTCCATTTTTAAGCTTCTCATCATTTTTAATTTCATCCTCTCGTACTTCGTGTTACTGGTTTCTTCAATAAAAAACAATATTTGCTTAGCTTAATTCTAGGTTTGTCTTATTATGACTTTTTAGGTAGTTTCGAACGTCTACCTCAACTTCATTAATTACTATATGAAAAGAGTTTGTCTCCATTCAGTTTGCTTTTTAGAACTTTATTTTATACGGAGGTTATAAAAAGTCCTGAAATAGAATCAATTTGTTTGATTCCGCAATTTTCATTCTTTTTTGATTATTTAAACTGATTAAACCAATTAAATATAAGAAATATACATTATCATTCAAGTAGCGTCTGAATGGTAACAGGTGAGGTAATAGATTACGGGTTTGTAGGCAATGTTACCGAACTCCCTATATTTGCTTCAATATTCATAAAATGACTTTTATGATTTACTATAATTTAATAAAACAACTTGATCATTATGTTATTAACTTTTCCATGACCCCATTGCAAATAATAATCTTATTAAACAATTAAATGATTTTCATCAATTAACATCAGAAATTATTCCTAACCTTTTTGACTTTTTAATTCATTTAAGAGGCCTAGAAATACTTAAACAATAGCGATAATATACTTCATGAAGTGCTAAGATTATCCGTTAAGATAACAAACATAAAAGTACAGTAAGTCATTTATCGGATTTTGTAATTTCAAATAACATATTTCTTCACGTAATCGTATCTTGGAGCGCGTCATAACTATATTGATATGATAGATGATAAGTGAGTTTGAAAGCTACAATAGTTTCTTAAGAACTGACTAATAACCTAAAGATTCCATATACTACAAACTGTTATTCTTTGAAGTGATGTTTTGGGTTGAGAGTAATTGTTACTCGGTTACACTATGTACATTAGCTCAGGTGACTGATCTCATAGAGTCATTAAGTTTTCCTCTACTTTAACTTACATCTACAGAATATTAGAGTCACTTTTCATTTATGTGAAGACAGGTGGGTAACCTCTTATTGATTAAAATGACGTGACTTTATTTACTGAGTTGTAAATTCAAGACTTAGTTCATCTGCTTCAGTTTGAATGACGAGGGAGTATCATAAGTTTATGACAAGAATGGCACGAATTAAAACTGAATAAATAAGGGTTCGTTGTTAAAATGGACTAAATTAAATCAGAGTAAAGATGCAAATATATTATTTCTTTGAAGTCACTTTGTTTTTAGAACCGCCATTCAAATAAATGAAGATAGTAGATCTCAAAGTT